CCCATGGTTCTATCACACCCCTCCCCAGGAAGGAGCTAGGCCTGCCTCAAGAGGCTGTTAGGGTTGCCAACCCCGCCCCCGGTTTTGCCGGGAGTCTCCCAGAATCAGGCTCTACCTCCTGGGGGCTACTGAAGCCAAACCGGGAGATTTTAGTCCACTAAAAATCTGGTGGTGCAGCAGGGCTAAGGCAGGCTCCCTGCCTGCCCTTGCTCCGCGCCGCTCCTGGAAGAGGCCAGCACATCCGTGCAGCCTATGGGGAGGCAGCCAGGGGGGTCTCAGTGCGCTAGCCCCACCCCGAGCACTGACTCCGCAGCTTCCATTGGCTGGGAACTGCAGCCAATTGGAGCTCTGGGGGTGGTGCTTGCAGGTGGCGGCAGTGCACGGAGCCCCCGGCCTTCTGGGAGCAGCGCAGGGCCAGGACAGGCAGGGAGCCTGCCTGAGCCCTGCTGCGCTGCCAACTGGAAGCCACCCAGCTGAAGCCCCCTTCCCCTCCTTCATCAGCCCTGAGCCCCCTCCTGCACCCAAACTCCCTCCCAGAGCTTGCACCCCACACTCCCTCCTGCACCAGGCTCAGCCCAGAGCTCCCTCACACACTCCAAATCCCTCAGCCCTAGCCCAGAGTCCACACCCCAACCCCCTGCCCAGTGAAAGTGAGTGAGGGTGGGGGAGAGCGAGTGACAGACGGAGGGGGGATGGAGTGAGCAGGGCCGGTCCTTGGAGAAGGGGAAGGGCAGGGGTGGGGCCTCAGGGAAGGGACAGCGCAGGACAGGGGTGTTTGGGTTTGTGTGATTGACAGTTGGCCACCCTAGGCTGCTTAGAAGCAGCCAATCAGAGCTGAGCAGGCTCAGATAAAAGGCGCTCTAGGGGCTGAGGAGTTCACTGTATTAGCCAAAGGGAGTGTGATGGGCTCTGTTTGCTGAAGCTGGAAGCAAGAGGACCTGAGAGCTCTAGCCCTAAGCCAGTAATGAACAGGTGTGAAGAGGCCCAGGGAATGTAGCAGCAACCAAGTAAAGGAAGTAGCATGTAGCTGCTGTGTACAGGGTCTCTGGGTTGGGACCCAGAATAGTGGGTGGGCCGGCCTGGGTCCCCCTGCCAGCCAGGGCTGGGATGGCCTAAGCCCTAAAAAGGGGTTATGGCTAGTTTTAAAGGCCCAAGAAAATGGGTTAGATTTAAAGGGGCTGTGACATGGCACCTGCCCTGCACTGGCCCTGAGAGGGTTAAAACCAGCCAAGGGAGGCTGAATTACAGGCAGCTAAAGGAATGGCTGCAGGGGAAACAGCCAATTAGGGCAGTAGCTTGACCAGCCAATCAGGGCCCAGCCAGCCCATATAAAAGGAAACTGCAAACCAGCATAAGTCTGCTGCAGGGAGTCCTAGGGAGAAGACTGGCTTACTAGAGGGCTGCCAGGACTTAAAGGCTCGAGGAACTGGGAAGAGGGCGCTGGAGCTGGAGCCAGAGGCAGGAGCAGAAGGAACTGAGGCTGTGGGGAAGTGGCCCAGGGAATAACAGTGAGCTAGCAGGAAGCTGCTGTTTGCAGGGGTCCAGAATAGTGTGTGGGCCTGGGTCCCCCCACTAGCCACTGGAGGAGCGACCCAGCTATAAACTGCCAAGCCACTGCGAGGAGTGGTTGGACTCTTGTTGGAGGAGTCCCCCGGAAGTGAGGCGGGGGGAAACGGATGGTGACACAGCTGGAGGGCTGTGCCACAAAGCAGACGCCAAGAGGAAGGAGTCATAATGGGTCTGCAGGCAGAGGCGACGATGGGAGAGCAGCCACCACCCAAGAGCGCACCTGCTAGGGGAACTAATTCCCAAAACGCCCAGCAGGAGGCACCAGTGTAGTGAGTGACCCTCTGTCAGGGGCCCAGAGAGAGGGCTGAAGGCCTTGGTGAGTGAAGACTGCCCCTTCTGGTAAAACTGTTTTCTAAGCCCTGCGAGAGAGTAAGTTTCCTTTAGAAGCCTGAGCAGGGGCTTGATTTAAAGGATCCAATGAGGGGCTGAGTCCAGCTTGAGCCAGGGATTGGAAGACTCTTGCTCATGTTTGTTTTGGATTTGAAGACCCTGGAAGGGTTCATCCATATTGACTGAGTCAGTGGTTCTCAACCTCTCCAGACTACTGTCCCCCTTTCAAGAATTTGACTTGTATTTTGTGCCCCCAAATTTCACCTCACTTAAATTTACAAAATCAGACATAATACAACAATGTCACAACACACTATTACTGATCACTTGCTTTCTTTTTTACCATATAATTATAAAATATCAATTTTGGTGTGAACAGTATAAACAAGTCATTCTCTATGAAATTTTAGTTCGTAGTGGCTTTGCTAGTGCTTTTTATGTAGCCTGTTGTAAAACTAGGCAAATATCAAGATGAGTTGATTGTATCCCCTGGAAGACCTCTGCATACCCCCAGGTTACCGCTGGTTGAGAACTACAGAACTGAGTGACTTGGCTAAAGAGCTGAGCCACTGAAGACCTGACTAGTGAGGTTGACAACCTAGAAGGGGTGCCACAAGAAAAGATTGCAGCATCACACCAAGCTGATAGGAGGCACTCATGGGAGTCTAGATCAGAGGTGGGCAAACTACAGCCCGTGGGACCGTCCTGCCCAGCCCTTGAGTTCCAGGCCAGGGAGGCTAACCCCGACCCCTCCCCCGCAGCCACACAGGCAGTGCTATGGGCAGCGGGATTGCACGCTCCTGTCAAGCAGTGTCTGGCTCCGGCCGGGCAGCGCGGCTACCAGACATGCAGCTCTGAGCGGCATGGTAAGGGAGCCAGGGGGTTGGATAAGGGGCGGGGGGTGCCTGGGGGCAGGCACTGGACAGGGAGTGGAGGTTCTGGGGGGCGGTCAGGGGAGGGGTTGAATAAGCATGGGAGTCCCGGGGGGCCTATCAAGGGGCAGGGGTGTAGATAGGGGTCAGGACTGGGAGAAGTGGGGTTGGATAGCGGGTGGGTCCCAGGAGCAGTCAGGGGACAAGGAGCTGGGGGGGGGCGTTGGATGGGTTGGAGGTTCTGAGGGGGGCAGTCAGGGGGTGGGAAGTGGGAGGGGTCGGATAGGGGCCAGGCTGTTTGGGGACGCACAGCTTTCCCTACCCGGCCCTCCATACAGTTTTGCAACCCCAATGTGGCCCTTGGGACAAAAAAGTTTGCCTACCTCTGCTCTAGATCAGTGGTTCTCAAACTAGGGCTGCCCCTTGTTCAGGGAAAGCCCCTGGCGGGCCAGGCCGGTTTGTTTACCTGCCGCGTCTGCAGGTTCGGCTGATCGCGGCTCCCACTGGCCGCGATTCGCCACTCCAGGCCAATGGGGGCTGCAGAAAGCGGCACAGGCCGAGGGACATGCTGGCCACCCTTCCTGCAGCCCCCATTGGCCTAGAGTGGCGAACCGCAGCCAGTGGGAGCCGCAATGGGCCAAAACTGCGGACGCAGCACGTAAACAAACCGGCCCGGCCCACCAGGGGCTTTCCCTGAACAAGCGGCAGGCCTAGTTTGAGAACCGCTGCTCTAGATAATACTTAGTCCTGCCTCAGTGCATGGGACTAGACTAGACGTCCTACCAAAGTCCCTTCCAGTCCTATGATCCCATGATTACTCTTGAAAGAGGAATCAAATTACTCAAATTGAAGGAGTGGGGAGGGCAAAAAAGGGGCATGTAAAGGGAAGAGACCAAGCAAATCAAAATGCCACTTGTATGGTGGTGATGAAGTTCTGAGGACACAGAGGCAGAGTGCAGGGATTTCCATGCCATATGTGAGAAGTCACCCCATACCTCTAGGCTCATTCCATGAAGTCCACTGAACAGCCATTGCATAATAGTAGGGCTGGTTGAACATTTTCCTTCTAAACTTTAACTAAACAATTTTTTCATTAAAAGTGCCTGCTTTCCAAAGAAAATTTACATTTTTCATTCAAACCAAAATGCCTGAAAACCAAAATATTTTTATTTGGAAATGCTGCCACAGTGCCTCATGGGAGCTGTAGTCGGTTGTCTCACGTCCCCCTGTTCTTCTATGGGCTGGATTTAATTCTCCTATATTGCACCAGCCAGAGAGCCCAAGCTATAGAGGAGAAAGGGAACATCAACCATACAAACTACAACTCCCAAGAAGCACCAGTGTGGCAGTTCTGAATTGAAACATTTTGGTATTCAAATTTCCACCCAAACACTAAAACTCTAGAGGGAGGGGAGGCATTTTTCAACCAACTCTTAATAGTATTGAAATCTGCTACCTCGATACACAAGGAAGGCTTTACATCTAGAACTGTAGTCAGGACATTTTTGACAAAATGTTTCCACTGAAAAATGCTAACTGGTTAAAACCAAAACTGCTCAGCTTCAGACTTAACTAATCTTAACTCACCAAAAAAAAAAAAAGTTGGGGGAGCTTTGAAGTTGTGTAAACATTTCATTTTGACAATTTCAAAATGGAAAATTCTAGTTTTCCAATTCAAACTGATTTTTCATTTTGAAATGTAGCTAATTAACCTAAAAAAGGAAGATAAAGGATTGAAATCAGCATATAGACAGCATACATTTTAATTGACCCAAAGGGAAGCTTCCCCTCCCCCCCGCACCAACCATCTCCTAGATATTGAGATTTCCACTTTGTCCTAATTTTAGCCAAATATTCAAGGGATGACGCAACATTTCCTGGCCAACTCTACTCACATCCCGTTGCTAATCTCCAGTGACATCCAGTCCCCATCTGTAGTGTTACTTTTCATTTTAAAAGATACAAAACCTTGTCTCTGTGTTTGCACAGTATCTAGCACAATGGAGCTCTAAGCTTAACCTTTGGTTACTAATAAAAACATTAAATTATTAGAAAATATTTCTAAAGTGTTCATATCTTCACTGCTTTATTTGCATTTCAATTCAGTAACGTTTAACTACCTAAACTCAGTGGTGGTGTTTCCTGTGGATGAACAGCAACCATGAGATACTGTATACGGGTGTCCTGGGAAAAGAAATTCAGTACTTCCAACTAAAAATGCAGTAACAGTTTGCATCATAAATGTTTTATTTTCTGTACACCATAGCTCAGAAGCCTGGTACTCTACTTACATCATTATACTTTTAAAAAAATGATGATTTCAAATTGTTGGCACTGACTAAAAAATTCTATTGAAGGAAGAAAATGTAAGGTTTTTTTTTTTTTTTTTGCGCGCTGGCATACACTGTGGACAATAATAAATCATGGATTTTAAACGTTCATTTGGTGCAAAAGTCAGGATAAGGTCTCTGACAACTATAATTCTTTTATTAAACATATTTTACTGAGCATTAAACACTGCTGTTTATGTAGGCACAGAAATAAGAATAACACCACAAAATCAAAATGATAAAGTGCAGACCTATACTGAGAAGCAGGCCTGGTAAGTCAGTCTACTCCTACGATGGAGGGGGGGGGGGCGGGAAGGGGAAGGAACTGCCATTACGAGAGCAAGTATACCGTAAATTATGTTGTGAGTTAACAGAACTATACATTTCCCACAAGGATTAAAGCATTTAAGAAGTCCCATGTGTTTTTTTTGTGACAGATGTAAGTTAGACTTAAACCTACATAGTGGCTTATTTAAGAGTAAGCAAATTGAAGGGTTGTGCTGATTAGAACACCACTTTTAACATGAATCACTTCCTTAATGCTGATTAGGTTTTTTGTTGTTGTTAGATAACTGCAGAGCTAAATATTTAAACTGGTTTTCAACCAGTCAAAATTTCCCTTACCACTTTGCTGCTGCTAACAATTTATTTTGCTCTTCAGTGTCTTTCCAGAAGTGCCATATAATTCTTAATTTATGTGTAGATATATGGCCATTATATTTCAGACTAAAACTTATACATTAAAATAACCCAGTTGCTGCAGCCATGATCAAACATGCAAGAAAAAGGGACAGGAGCAGAGAAGCTGGGTTAAAGTCTTTTTTTTTTTTAAAAAGGTCCTGGTCTGGCCAGATCCCATTCCTATGTTGAAGTCTTTCTCTAAGCAACATGGCCCCACTGATAAAACCACCAACATGTCTTAACTTCAGTAAATGTGTCGTCCTATTTTTATCTCATAAGGGCAGTTTTCTGCAGTTATTACTGAGAGAAAATATATATATTTTCAGGATTTACACCCCCCTCCCCCAAAAAAGGCAGAAAACGAGGGAAAATAACTAATTAGCTACAACATGATTTTGTAGTAAACAATAGAATATAACGTGCAATAGTGCAATTTCTCCCTTGCTGCTCCAACAATGCAAGTCTTAATATATAGTCCATTGATTTTTATATAGCTTTTCACATTTAGTTGCGTGTTTGTCGTGGATTACTGTTCTTGCCAGACTTTTGAGCAGAATCACTTTGTCCAGGCTCATTTTTGCCCTTTCCAGGATGACGGAGTTTCTGATCCCAGCGCTGTACAATGTAAGCAAACAAAACTAATAAATGGAAGAAAAAAATGTAACTACAACTGCATGTGTTTCAAAATACCCTAAACTCAGATATTTTTACAAAACTAGTTCACAAATTACACTCAAATGCTGCAAAGTACCGGTAATATTTCTAAAAGATGCTGTTACCCCCACCAGAAGAGAAAACACCAGAGACTTTATAAAATAATAGTGAATGTGTGACTTAGATTATGAGCAGAAGTCAGAGTTCTGCCCCAGACTGCAGAGCATAGTGACAGGAATGTGGCTACCTAAATGTGTAGCTACATAATATTACAGTATCAAATCAACAAATTACAGGGTAAAACAGGTCCTTGTTCTCACGGTCTAGTGACCATATTTCTTAAACCTTTGTTTCTTTAACTGTTTTTTGGTAGAGATGTGCCCTTTTAAAGGCTCAAATGTTAGCTACTTACTAAGGCCGTGATTCTGCAAGCGGATTTGCACAAACCCTGTTTACTTTAGCAGGGCTCTGTAGTAGTCAACCTACACGACTCAGCCTGGAGGATAAGGATCCAATCCTAAGAGGTGTTGAGCCCTCTCAACTCTCAGTGAAGTAGTTGGAAGTTGAGGGCACTCAGCACCTCACAGGATCATGCCTTCAAATGCATAGCATGTTATTTACACAGTCAGGGGATGAGTGACATTACACACACAGACCTAAATTATGAATGCCAGGGTAGATTATGGTCAAAACATAGACTTTGAAAAAGTTATTTTACCAAAATGAATGATTTAAAAATGTTAATGCATTTTTCTTTCAATTAAAACAAGCTTGGTTTCCCCCCCAAGATTGGAACTAAACATTCCCCTCCACATGCTTGCAACCCAACCACTGCAGTGCTGAGAATCAGAAAGTGAATATAAACTATAGTAAAATTGTGTCCATATCCAAGCTGAAAGAAATACAACTAGTAATCAAACTCCACTGTGAAAAGCACATTAGATTTTAATAGCTTCTATTTAACTTTACTCATGCAACTAGCTTCATCAAATTCAAAGCCATGCTTGTGCTCAGCAGTCCAAGAACAAACTTATGCACATAATTTATTTGCGGGGTTATTGTCCTCAGGTCTTACTAGAAACATGAGTAAGGATCTTTTTCAGTTCTTAGGGGTTTTTAAACTAGTGTGTGGTTTTGGTTGGTTTTTTTTTTTTTTTTTTTAAACAACTTGACAGTTGACTTGAACTGCTGGCTGCCTAAGAGATCATATTAACATGAAAATGAATGATCAGACACCATGATACAATGACAAGCATAAACGTAGCTTATGCTTTATTTTTTAATTTTTTAAATGTAAGTAAAGCCACCTGTGGACCTTTTTAGGAAACCATGATAGAAAAGCAATCAAGTGATTCAGAGAGCAGAGCTGGCACGAGGGAACTGTGTGTGGAGTAATAGATGGTAATGAAACTACCAGGGATGTAACAGTCGCCAGTAACTGAAGTTACACTAGTATCAGGAAACCAGAACTAAAGTGGTACCAGAGAACAACATGAATTATCACATGTTCTCTGGCAATGGAGTTGAGGAGGATCTACCAGATGAGAATTTAAAATAGGTCACCCAGTCTAATAAAAGGAATATGGATGACAGCTAGACACAGAAGAATTTCAATTTGTATAAAAAAGTAGGATTTTCTCTGCAATGATCACTAAAACTTGAAGAAAATAAGGGGAAAGAGACAGACACACACATGCAAAAAGATGTGGGGAACCTTATTTATGTCAAATCAACATGTTGGAGAAATTGTTTTTAAAATCAATGCTTTCCATGTAAAGTGATGTTTTGTAATGCTGCCAAGGTCACTAAAACCATTTGAGGTCTGACGGGTGTCAGATATGAAAGATAAAGCTCAGGGGCCAAAGTCTGTGTGGATGCCTAGCTTACCCAATCAATCATTCCAGGAATTACAAGATATTAGGGTGGAGCATATATCATTTTTGTGTCTGCTCCAGTTCCTCCCTATTTCTCTATCTTCTTTCAGATAGGAACTCCCACACTTGTATTCCTCCCATGTTCTTTTCCTCCCTCACATATGTCAAATGTTTCCTTAGATGAAGAGCTAAGTCTAGGAGCAGACCAAGTCTGCACAATTTAGATGAGAACTGTATTTAAACATTTAAAATTTGAGACGCACAAGTTTGTAAATGAGGTAAGAAGGTGGCTTGTGAAACCATGTTCTGCCCTTGGCTGTGTGTAGATGGTTCCCACTGAACTGAATAAAAGCTGCGTGTATGCATTTAAACGCAGAATTTGGCTGTAGAGCTTAATTCAACTCCTGCTGATTGAAATAAATGATTCAGGTTTTAATTGCTGCTAAACTTGTATAAATCTGGAGTAACTCCATTGATTTCAGTTATGTTACTCCAAATTTACCTGTGTGTAATGGATCAGAATCTGACACGTTAACTTTCATGGGTGTAGAATTGGGCCTCATGTATTTTCTCTCTTTTCTTAAAGGTGAGATACAAACACTGTTTCCAATGTCAATTGTTACTAAGATCATGAAACATTGTCTTACCTTTACTTTTTTACCAAGACGATCCTTCCATTTCTCAGCTATGGAGCCTTCTACCAAGAGTAACCTACACATTTCAGATAAGCTAGTTATTTTATTATTGAGGAAGGTGTATGCTGTACATAGCAATATACACAACACTAACAGAATCTGCTCAAGGGGAGAAGAGAAAGAGAACCTAATGGCATTCAGCAGTGACAAGACCAGGTAACTCAAAAGTTCTGAAGAAAATTTTGCCCAATTTTCTTCAGAGGGAACAATGGTGGCTTCAAAATGAGGTCTCATGGGTGGGCAAGCAGAGCAGGGAAAGTAATTCTTTAAAGAAAAAATTACCTGGAGCGTTCCTCATCTTCATAGCCCATTATAATGTATTCTTCATTAGCACTGAGTGGTGGGCATAGACAGCCAGAGTTTGTGTAAAGGTTAACAGTGTCCTTAGGAATATTCACCAAGGAAGATTTTAGTATCTCCTTTACTTCAACTACTGCGGTGACATCATGACATTTAGTCTTCACCTCCTTCACTTTAGCCCGAATGACTGGGGAAAAGTAACAGAGTGTAGTTAACAGCAGCAAATAATATAGGTCACCCCCATGCCATCCTTTGTGACCTGGTGGATTAGTCTTTTGTGTGCTCCTTTATCAAAAGCTCAACTGAACTCCATCTAGATTTTGCCCAGAGATTCCTCTCTCCCCCTATTTTTTCACTTTCTCTTCTACCAAGAGTAACATATATATTTCAGGTAGCTCAGTATATAGAATAGCAATGTAGGTGCTCTGTGCAGGGAATAATTTAGCAATGGGCCTTTCACCTTACTTTCTCTGGGATATATTTTTTTAGCTTTTTTCTTTTATTCCCTCTGTGTTTTAAATATGTAGTTCATACTTCATATTATTTCCTCCTTGTTCATTCATCTTATGCTACAACAACTTCTCTCTTATTTAGGTCCAGTACAGACTCTTAATTTGTCACCCACAGCCTTTCACAAAATGGAGAATATACTTGAAAGCTTTATTGTATCATTATCCCTATTGGATGACAGGGCCTTCCCTTTTCTCCTCTTCCTCCAGTGACCCAGCACCAATCTGCTCTGTTTTCCATGAACGCCAATGCTCCTGATCTTGACCTAATGACCTGTCTAATTGTTTCTTCTCTGATCTTATCATTCTCCCATGAACTGCATATTAGGGAAAGTTGCCTTCCAAGGGCAGCAATTTTTCAGGTCTCTCACGGTGACCAATGAGCTGACACTGCATGCAAATCTAGAGGTCGTACTCCAGGGAGTACTACATCTTGTACTGTTTTCAAATCATAGAATCTTCCTCCATTTTACATCCAAATTCCTTAGATTCTTAATCTCTTATAACTAGTGGGGGGGGGGGAGGGAGAAAGCAAAATGGAAGAGATGTAATGAAAAATAGAGCAAATCCATTAACCCATCCCCACTCTCTCTCTCTCTCTCTCTCTCTCTCTCTCACACACACACACACACACACACACACACACACACAGGTTTTCCACCCACAGATATGCTCAG